TTGATATTTTTTATATATATTTAAATTTTTTTTCCCTTTTTTTTTTTCTTTCTTTTTTTTTTTTTTTATCAGCACTTGTAGATGAAATGTACATTCGTTTACCAATGACAATTGTTAATAATAATGAATAAACAATTGAATAATAATGAACGAATGAATGAAATACACATGGACTCTGGAGAAACTAGTCGAATCAACGAGATCTATCGCTAAGATAATTACAATTCAATGAAGAAAATTACCAATGAATTTATGAGCTTTACTCCATCTTTCGACGGCAGTCGGTAATAGCGAATGTCCAAATCTGAAAGCCGCCGCTGCAAAAGCGTCCATAACACCCGGATTCACATTCGCATCGTATCCATCCCAATAATCCTGCAAACGTAATAATCAATTATTAGGAATTAGACTGATAAGTTCAGCTGGAGACGCAAGGATCTTAAACGTATAAGTCCTTCAATATATCTTTTAAATTAGCCTATAAAGAAAGAAAGGAGCAACGCTTCTCCAGCCATACTCCCGAGGCACTTTTTCTTCGTTAATATGTTAAAGCGTAACGAGTAATAAGTGTGGACGACGTGTTGCTAAGGGCGAATTAACGAGACCCCTCACCTCTTTCTCCAAAAGAAGGCCGAATTTCTCCATGACATCCTTGCCCAGCAGGATCGGTAAAAACTCATTATACGTAATATGCTGTATTTCGGCAATGACGATACGCCTCGACTCCTGAAAAAGTGTCTCGTCGTCCCAGTGTGGATTGACTTGCGCAAGACCCTTAGCCACTCGGTTATGCTCGCGCGCCATTAGCGTGTGCATGCAAGTCAGCACCAATTGCTCGTTCACCCTGATCTCACCTTGAATAGAAAGGTTATCGTGCGTCAGTAGTACTCGCGTAATCAACCGACCTACAACTTCCGTTACGTTTTCTCCTCGGTTACTCCCCCCCCCTCCTCCTCCTCCTCCTCCTCCTCCTCCTCCTTGCACCTACCGGCTTCAAAGCAGTAGACGCTTCCGTTAGGGCGAGTGCAGCCTTCGTCCGGGATGTCGAGCTTAAGCGGAAGTAGATCCTTGAGGCCGTACTCCTCGAACACGGGATTCATGCGCAGCAACCCGGCATAACCTGTCCGCAACTTGCTAATAAACGGGAGAAGCACGTGCGTGCATAATTAATGGTTCACGAAGCTTTGCCTCTCGCCCGAAGACCCCGAAGCTTTCGAGCCGTATGAGCACGAGAAAAACGACCATGAGTTGGCGAGTGGTAGATGGTGGAGGTGGAGGGGGGATGGGGGATTGGGGATTGGGGATGGGGGATGGGG